AAATTGAAACAATAGAGCATACGCTATGGAACTGTGAAAAAATTCAAATTTTACTTGTTAACTTAGAAAATTTGTTGAATTCACTGTTCATTCCATTTGAATTTAATAAGAAATCTTTTCTTTTTGGTACATATCGTCAGAATGGAATAAACAGAAAAGTGGATAATGTGATCATCTTTACAATAAAACAATATATCTACAAATCAAGGTGCCTCAAGAACGAACTCTGCATTATTGCCCTGAAAAATACACTAAAAGATACATGTACAACTCAAAAATATATTGCTAGAAGTAAGGGAGAAAGCTACTTAAACCAGTTTCAAAAAGAATGGGCCAAATGGCAAAACTTTTTTTGAAACACCCAAACTTGAAATTACGTCTGATTTACCATAAGTAACTTATCAATTTATAAATATTATTGTTATATTGAATATGTGTAAACATTGATTACGCTCACACTGACAGCTAGCTTAGAAATTCAAAATGTAATACAAATTTTCAACAATCCTACCTTTCCTTTCTGATAATTGTATTGGTGTTTGTATGATAATGAATGAGTGTGTGTGTCTTTATATATATGTTTGTGTTATGTCATGTTATGTATATATATTGTAACTATATTGTATACTAATGTAAAAATTTGAAAAAAAATAATAATAAAAAATAAATAAATCTTGGTTTAAACAATCTTCTCTAAGAATTTGTACTTGAATTCTAAATTTCCAACAGGCCAATTTTAACCAGCAGTGAAAAATGACCTCTTGTAGCCATGGTTAGGTTTAAGAATCATAATTATTTGTCTTAATATATATATATATATATTACATAAGCAGAAAAAATGATCCTTACGGAAGAAGAAATATTATAAAAAGAAAAATTCTCAACAACGAGTCTTTAGTATTTTCATCTCTTCTAGGAGATTCTTCAGTCTTTTTATAATATATATATATACATATAGAAAAAATTAAATTAACGATACATATTTGTTTGCTAGTATTATATACTGTATATATTTATTATCTATGTCAATTAAATTAATACGCATACACCAAGCATAAGATAGCTTGAATCAAGCGCCGGTATTGGACCATTGAGTCATTATCACTCAAATGACCTTTATACATCAAAGAAAACAAAAATCTGCTTTGGAGGTTCTTTACTGACTTAAGTACTGACATATTGTACATTGTTTTAGTATGTATACTACAGTAATGCAATCTTTTAGTCATAAATAAAAAATGTCGTAAACAATTGCTAGTTAAAATAAAGTTTAAGCCAGAAAATAATGAATACCTATGGATAATTCTTAATTGATATATATATATCGGTAATTCAGGAACACCGTTGGATCAGCTTCCCTTTTCGTCAATACTCGGTCGTGCATTGGACACTTTTCTCTCCCTATCAAAGTTCATTTGGAAAATAGTCGTAAATGTTATTATTGCTTTTGAAAACCACCCCGAATTGTTGAAATAGATATTTCGGACATATAAATAGCTTGACTTTTTTTCCCGCCATGGAACAAACTGGAATGTTTGCTGCCAAAATGTTTTTACCTATTTTGTTTTATCTTCCATGGTGTCGAGGTTTTCCTTAAAAATGAATTAACATTGGTTTTACGAATGATTCAAGCTCTCGAAACCTGACGTAACTCATTTCTACATATACTACTATCCCACCTCCAACCAGCCTTCAAATCAGTGTGTAAGCAAGTATCAGACACTGTAAATATTCGCAAATAAATTTAATATATCGATAGGAAATCTTCAATTATGCATTGCCAGTATATTATAATCACCACACTGACTTTATTCGGCTAAATGTGATGAAGTTGCTACACTAGTAAATATACCATCACATCTTATTTAACCTGCCTGTGTTTAAGTATATTTTATATTATGAAAATGATTAATGCTCTGTCAAATATTGGAGGGGAAACAGTAATCTCATAAAAGTGTTTGTGCGTGAGATTTGGACACAACATAGCTGACTCCTTGTAGCTGTCACGTAAGTTACATAGTCACCTTACTACACGGCGAGATCGCCAACATTTTAAACAAACATTTTTGAACAATGATTTTCTCTTAATTACGTTTATTGTACATATTTGATTCTCCGTATTCTATTGAATACTTTAGGAAACTTATTACTATTTACTGGCATGTTATACAGTATACATAAGAATCAATTGTTAAGCAATAGACATTGACATATCTGTGAAAGCAATGGCGTGTTAACCATGTCATAGCTATCCGATAGACTTGTTATGGCCATGATGCATCATGTACTCTAAATAATGAAGTCACGTGGATATAAATAAGAAATTTAAAAACATGTCGGAGGCGTGTAATTATATATGTTTAAAAGAAAACAGCACATAAGCTGACAAAATAGGCACTGCTTTATTAATATGCATTCAATCTTAGTTATGTCGAATCGTCATGTATTTTGTCTGATTTTAAGTTCAAATTGAATAGATCAATATACATCTTAATTTATTTTCCATTCAAATTCGAAAAGGACCTTTGTCATTTATCGTCATATTGTTTTCAAATGGACTTAAAAGTAGGACAATGTAATTATGTTTTACAGCTGAAATGTGACATATCGACATTTTAGCTATTTCAATGTTCCGATTGCGTTAATTATAATAAAACTTTTATTTCAACACTAAGCAGCCCTTAGGAAACTCATCCGTTAATATTGTTATGTGTAATTTTTGATTATATGAAATAATTTATAGCTTATTCATATGTGATATTATCAAATTAACAACTGCTATTATATATCATTTCTTGTTTTAAATACATAGCTTTGCGTAAAAAAATACCAGGTATATTTTATTTGATTATTGTATGTTACGTAATTTTTTGTTGCATATTTCACTTAATTTAGTCTCTTAGCGAAAAAATAATGGGAACTAAAGTTAGCAACGGCAGTGTTGATTGTTTAAAATTAAGCATGTGGTGCAAAGTCGGATATATCGCAACTGATGTATGAAAATTATAAGTGTTTTATCCCGTTATTACTCACATAATTATGTTCATTATAGATATGCAAATTACGCATTCCGTAGTTACTCATGTAGATTTAAATATGACATATTTCGTTATTACTCATGTATGCACAGAATTATTATAAAAGTACATATTCCGTTATTTCACATGTTTGTTCAAAACTGATATACATTTAATGTTCAAAAATAATTTAATGTAGTAGGTATTGCGCAATTACTAATAAATGTAGAAATTTGATATAAAAATTCGTAATAATTCAAGCATGTTCAAAAATTATCTAAAAGTACTTTTATTTCGTAATTAATCATGAAGATACACAATTATTATTTTTCAATAATAGGCTGATTATGATATTAATTTAGAATAAACGTTATTTCCTCCCTTTTAAGCAAAGTAATACATATTCAATTAAATATAAACGGAAAACGGATCCGGAAACAAGATTCGAAAAAATATAATAATCTGTTTATACATGGTATCTAGATTTTAATTGGTGAAAGAAACAGAATGAAGAGAACAGAGAACTGATGAATTTCGGATGGTGGAATTTATATTGCTGAACAAGGAGGTACATTGCTTTCAAAAGTAGGCTGATCAATGATGTACCTTTCTGTCAAGATCAGAGAGATAACAGCATCGGGAGACGACAAACAAATCAATTTAAGTGACTAATTGTGCATCCGTATTTCTCGCTAGCATAATTGATTAGGTAGTAAACCAGAGATAGAGTGTAGAAAAAAGCGAATAAATGAAGACAGATTGTATAAAATGGCAAATGATGATAGAGTGTATAAGAATTAAAGAAGTAAAATACTCGAAAAAATACGAGAACGCCATATTCAGAATTCAAAATGAATACGGAAAAACGGATCGCATGATGATGTAGTGGCTTGGTGCGATGTAGCATACAGGCGTCAAGGACTTAATTTAATTGCACATTACAAACGTATAACACTATATTAACATAATTATATATAGTTAGCCATCATTCCGAATACAATGAAGGTAAAAAACGGATACAACCATTGTTTATGTTCATAGATTATCTTCATTTCAAATTTAAAAATTCAACAAAATAAAAGAAAATATAGATGAATGTATTGTTGATCAGCTAGTTCAAACAATTTTATTCTAATCAAGCACAAAGGAATGAGACAAACCAAATGATAGTTACTTGTCTACAATAATTAATCTATGAAATGTCGACCTCCTATACTGTCGCATTGACTGCAAATATTTAAATCAACTAAATATCAAGAATTGTCACCAAATACTAAAGATTACCATAACAGGTTGTAGCCATCAGCAGTTAATTGAGTATTTTGTTCAACACAAATAACGTTACTATAAATTGTTCATACCGAAAAAAAACCATAACATTGTTCTATCTTCAGAAAGATAGCACATATCCACACAAATAGATTGAATTATCAATGTTTCCATGTACTGTTGGGTATTACGACATTGATGGGTCAACTACAAAAAATATAAATAATTAATAATGTTGTTTTCATCATTGATAGACATTTATGTAATTTTCTTCATTAAAAAAATAACAACCAGGAACAGAAATTAAGACAGCGGCGCCATGCCCTCCAGGTGAACATCAGTAACACGTGTCTTCTTTCTTATCACGTGCGCTCGTGAGATCTATATGTGAGAACACACTGGATAGAACGTCGAAGCTTGGTAAATTAATTAGGGAATTCTATAATTATCTCAAAGTAGTCAAGATATTTAATACGTTAATTTCACATGAAACGATCGTTGAACTAAGATAACGCAGCAACCAAAATAAACAGGATAAGCTTTATCATAGAAGTGATAGAATTTACAAAAAATGACTTTGTCTTAAGCTTGTAACGCTTTGAACGACCAATTTAACATAAAGCATTGTTTACCTGTGGGGTCACCGGTTTAACCCATCGCTAGATTATTACTTTGTTTGTGGCTTGTGACGTGATACGCAAGGTATTTATGGTTAGTGTAATCACAGTCCTCAGAAACATAAATCAGTGACTGCTATAGGCGAGGATGTCTCAAGTTCCTGCTAACACAAACATCTAAGACTCCTAGCAGCAAGTATTGGTATCTACGTACAACCACGGTAAGCGGTTTTATTGCATTCTTTATTGAAAAAAACCAAGATAAGCATGTTAAATTCAGGAAACATAAAATAGAGATCAAGGTTCAATAAAAAACAATGTCCTTTACTAAAATCGGCATTTTTATAATATCTGTGTATTTACATCGGATGTTTGTCTATATTTCGTTGCTTTTCTTTCCTTTAACCAGAGAACCACATTTCAAAAAAAAAGCTTCAGCACATAAAGCATTTTCAACCGGGGAAAAACTGTAAAACCCTTAGGTACATAATTTATTTCATTTAATCAGAAAAAACACCGTTTACAATTGTTAGTACATCATAATTTACTTTAATCAGAGAAAGACTTAAACATTTCTTAATTTCTTAAAGTAAGAGAAACATACTGGAAAACATCATAGATTCATTTTAAGTAAAAGAAACATCAGTACATAATTATGTTCTTTAGCTAGATTTTTTTTAATATTTTTTTATTTCATCGTTATTTATTTATTGTGTTTCCGAAATATGATTTTATTATACTAAAGTGGTTGTTAATATTTATCTATAATATCATTATAATATGTTTAATTTCACAAGCAGTTCGATATAAGTATATGAATATTTTAGCATTTTAAAGCGAAACAGGTTTTTATAACCACAAAATGATTGCCTTTTAATGTGTACTGTTACAAAAATAGAACCTGAACTACGTCTAAAAATATTAAAATATGAAAAAAGTGTAAAAGCGATGACCTTTAGCTCGACCCCCTGATCCCCAGTCAGTAAATAGCGAAAACAGATGTCAACCTGTCACGTCATTACGGGACATCAGGATTCGTGATCACAGGCTAATAATTAGCCCACCAGCTTAACGAGCATCTGACAGACATATCCAAGTGACATTCAAACAATAAAAAACAAACGAATGTTTCTAAATACGATAGGAAACTTTCATGAATAAATGAATTGTTGATTTAATTGAAAAAACTAAATAATCTGTGGTGTTTCATTCACGACGATGACGGCAGCAACACTTGTTTTTCTTTAATTTCTCTTTATTTGAAATTTAATGGCCACGTGTTGGTCACGATCTCTGGTATGCACGACAATGGCGTGTCCAGTTTAAGCCGTTTTGTGGTCTGTACATATCCTATAAATGTAAACGATCGCAAATTATACACAGGGACACATGTCACAGCAAGGTCTGCTAAGTAAGTGTGTTTGAGATTATTACAATCCTTTGTAGATCACTATTGAATATCAAAATGTCATTTGCAATATCTGTAGATGCAATGCTCAGACTATTATATATACACGTTCACTGTCAATATCACATTAGTGATTCACGGTAGAGTTATTATGGACGTTTGGTATCGACAATGATAAAAAGTGAGCATCATTTGTTTTACAGACTCTGTGGCATGTAACATGTAGAATCCCGGAAACTTTGTTTAACTTGAAAGATACATTGTAGTATATGACATTTGACGAGAACAGCTGCCACTGAACTATTCATTTAGTATGATCATCGTAATAAGCTTTGTGAGGAAATATCAAAAAAGGAGAAAACGATTACTTTTATTGCATATTTTGGTGTTCTCTGGTACCAAGATCTTGTGAAAATGTTTTAAAAATGTTTCCTTGCTACGGCTCATAGTTGCAATCTTCAAATACAGCAATAAACCGTATGTTTATACGAATAACTCAGATGAGATGGTGTCCTTTAGTATGGAACAGAGAGTTATGTACGACATTTATTGATCATATCCAGAATACTGTAGCTATCTTTGCCCCGTTTAAGCCTTAAATCCAAACGATTCATAGCTGGGTCTTCCTTACCTCCGACACACCGGAATGATAAACTTATTTTCTTGATTGCAAATTTGCGTTCTTTTAAACGTGTTTTTTTAAGTGGTTGGATTGACATAGATGAGACTAGAACTGATTGTTTCTTTCACGTCCAGTAGCTTTCCCGGCAATGTTATTGAAGCACACTCGTCGGTTACCCGATGGTCTGTGATTTGGCCATTTATAACCATGACTGTTGTATAACCATGCGTGTTGTGTTGACTGGACGTTTACAAGAGTAAAGGAGAACTTTTGTGCTTATTGTGAAGTTGGAAGTCTGACAACATAATCTCTGGATTTGCACTACAGAGCTGTATGATTTCGTTTTATATTTACAGATATTGGATCTTAATTGGAAATGTCATCAGATATGTGATTTCAGTTCAACTTTGTCTGGATTGAGATAATCATTAACGACTCAGCCCCTTGAGGTAAACGTATAACTTTTTTGACATAGATTGTATGTATGATGTTATAAAATATCCATATTATTGATTTTTTTTAATCATAATTTTACATATTGCCTTTATAACCCATAATCTAATACCTTTTCGTCATGTCATTTAGAATCATACGTCATAATGAATGACGGGAGAATTTCACCAAGTTTGGTTATCTGCTTTAATAGTGAAGATATTTGCTAGAAAAAAACCCAGTTGTTTGGTAAAATTACGTCATTGTTTTGTCCTCTTTTCAACTTAATTACCTACACATAACTAAAGTTGAATGTCTAGTATTGTTTCTTGATATATTCTATATTATCAGTTTATAGTACCAACAGATAGTGTCCTTCGGACCTCTGCTTAAGACGTTGATTGTAAGGTTTTTTATGGTTAAATAGTCTCCGTTATATTTAAAAGCCTGCCGCACGGTGCTTTATAATTAGGTTAGTACACAATGACGTGTTATTTCAAAATCATTTTGTTTGGTACATGTGTTTTAATTTCAGAACGGGATCCATAAAAAGATATTTCACAAATTAGAAATATGTTGTAAGTTATTCTATAATTAAGAAGTCCAAATTAATATCATGATTGTTTTTACAGATTTGGATTGTCTGAGCGACAAATAAGACAAACACACTTTTTTAAGAAGATAAGGGACTTCTAAGAATTGGTATGTTTATCTTAATCTTATCTTAGATAAGACTTAGTTTTCTTCGATTTAACGATTTCTAACAGTCTCAAGAACTTCTGTGACTGCAGTAGAAATATATTGTACTATCTCCATCACTAATAAACATTCCTCATGATTTGATCGTAGCAATTTATTCACTCATTTAACGTTAAAATTATCGCTGATCGAAAGTTCGAACAAATACAAATTTTAGAAAACAACCCAACAAATAACAACAACAACAACAAAAAAAGGACAAAAAAATCAAACAAACGTTCTCCTATTTTCTATCGTCTGTCTAGTGGATTTATCAAAGGAAAAAATCAGAAAGATGGGTATTTGATTGAGACGTTAAGCGTCAACGAGAAAAATACCCTGTACTAAACTTAAATGTTTGATAAATCCTCCCCAAAAAGCGGCTGGATCAAAAAATTACTATCTTATTTTTCAGTGAGTTTTTCGAGAAAGCATATAGAAAGTGAAACTGAACATTTCATTAGGTTTTGGTAGACTCTCGACATAGCCACTACGCTATCCCAGACCGTCTCTAAACCGAACGGTCCATAAATCAATAAACAAAATATTTTGGTCAATGGTATGTTTTTTGCCATACTGTGTATAAAGCAGGTACATTATATTCATCCGTTTAATTTGAAGGTCAATATAAATTCAGTCATACACTGCAGTAGGAGTCATTTCAACCAAGGGGTCGTATTTTAGAAAGCAATACACGGCAGGGCCTTTTGTGACTCAATACTATTTATATATCAGTTCCCGATTTTATACATCAGTTCCCGTAATAATTTAGTAATCTTACGTGTTATTGTATACATCCGTGCAGTATTTGTTTAATGACCTTATCATTTTGTATACTTACAGACAGTATAATTGGAGAAACATATTTGACACCATGACATCTTCGATGGTACTTATTTGGACGCCATTACTGGTGCTGGTTTCGTTCCAAACAGTCAACAGTGACGAACCCCCACCGACGACAACACTGTCCCCGAGCTCCGGAGGAGGCGGATTCTCCTTTAATAGCGGGACGTCAGTTGGCGGTGGTGGAAATTCACAATTTGTTGTCCGTCAGGTTTCTACCAATTCTGGTTTTAATAGACCGTATGGTAGAAGAGCACAACAGCAACAGTTTGTGTCATTTCAACGTCCTCACATGCGTACAATGCACTATCAGAGGCCTATGTACAGGCATGTGAACGTTGTAAGGATACCTTACTACTATACACAATACTACACTTATGTGCCACCACCCCTTAGATATTTCTTCACAAACTTTGATGCAGGGATTAAGCAGTTTGACTTCAGTGCAAATGACGGCAGCGCAGCCATAGGTGATGGGGGAGCCGTTATTAGTTTTGGCGGCGGAGGTAATGAAGAGATGAAGTTTGTTGGTAGCGATCGGGGTGGCGGATCAATGATTTCTATGGCAGAGCAACAGCAGCAGATGCAACAGCAACAACAGCAGCAGCAACAGCAAACACAGCAGCAGCAGCAGCAACAACAACAGCAGATGCAACAGCAACAGCAGATGCAACAACAACAGCAGCAGCAGCAGCAGCAGCAGATGCAACAGCAGATGCAACAGCAGATGCAGCAGCAGCAACAACAAGAACAGGCAGCATTCGCTGCGAGACAGCAGGCAATGGCCGAAGCTATGACAAGTCATTGGGCCATGAAAGGAGCACATATTGGTAGTGGAGGGGTTTTAGGAGGAAGAGGAATGACAGCCTCAAATGGGGGTCATGTGTTTGAGCAATTTTCGAGTCATTCTGGAATGATAGGCGGTTCCAGGTTCGGCCCCGCTCCTCAAGTTAATGGACCCCTTAGTCCAGGTCCAGTCCTTTCTAATATGGGACCAGGACACGTTGGACCCCAGGTGAATCCTCCCTTCTCAAAATAATGTGTTTTTTTTGTGTAATATGTTACTGTTTGTCAATACAATGAATTCATTTAGTGTTACCATGCTATTTTTGACTGTTGGTAAATAATATCATTGTGACCCTAGCGTAAGGAGCAATTCTTAACAGCAAGTACGATAAATATTTCATTTACTTACGACAGAATGATTGAATTGTTGTTGTTGTTTTCTTTGGTGGTTTTTTTTACAGACAATTGACATCATATCATACTTGAATTGGATTCGATATTTACGACTACTTGCTCTGGATCATTGCTTAACGGCACACTCTTGTTAAAGTTAAGCGTGCCACTTACACCAGAACATCCACACTGAACAGATCTCTCACATGTTGTAATGTCTACATGCGACACACTAAACACATTCAATGACGATATGAAAACTTGAACAAAATATAACAAATCGGATCTAAAGTAATTCTTTGTTGTAAGTAATTGGGCGTGGTTTGGGATTTTGGTTTAGGAAATAACATCAGGCGATATTTGACCTTACATCCCGAATACGGAATTTAACTAGCGTGCGTTAAGGAGCTTATAGCACCTAAGTATCATGATGCATTGACAGGCTTCTAGACTGACATAACTAAATAAGCATGCCTCAAGATTGGTATTATACAATTAATTACCCCAAATGGGTGTGACAAAAGGATGTGTCTCCCTGAGACAGGTAATATGATCTGAGGGCAACATCCAAGGATGATACTTCCTGTCGAGGGGAGACAACTCCTATGTCACACCGATATGGGGTCATTAACTGGTAAAGTTACCGAATAGAAATTACAATAACAATAGCGGTTATAACTATATTATAAATAGCAATAAACTTAACTAGGCAGTGTCAGTGAAATCTCATTTTAGAAAATTAAATAGTTTTTCGTTCAGCATTTGAAATAGTTTTGTTACACTCACTATTAAAGTTTGAACCAAAAATTGGCAAAGCCTTTGCCTTGATCGTTCCGTGGTTGCAATTTGAAAGCCAAATTGCTTAATGTCAGTATGCAGGGCTGTGGAAGTAGATTTCCGAAGAATGCTTCACGAGAGGGAAAAAACAGGGTTTCTCAGCGGGCAACATGAGACTTACGAGACCATTCTAAGAATCACGTCAGGTAACGAAATAGTTACACTCTAGATAACGTGGCAATTCTAAGAAAAAATATCCAGGTAACAAACAATTCTAAAACACGCTCTCGGTAACATAACAATACTAAGAAACGATCTGGGTAACGTATAATTTCTAAGAAACACTCTAGGTAATGTAACAATTCTAAGAAACACTCAAGGTAACGTAACAATTATAAGAAAAAATGCACGAAACGTTTCAATTATAAGAAACAATTCGTAGGTAACGTAACCATTATAAGGAACACTCTAGGTAACGCATCAATTCTAAGAAACACCCTAGGTAACGTAACAATTATAAGATATACTCTAGAAAACTTAACAATTATAAAAAATTCCAGGTAATGTAACAATTATAAGAAAAAATCAAGGTAACGTAAACATTCTAAGAAACGATCTGGATACGAAGAATTTCTAAGAAACACTCTAAGTAACGTAAAAAGAATATGAAACACTCTAGATAACGTAACAATTATAAGGAAAAAAAACAGGTAACGTTACAATTATAAGAAACACTCAGGGCTGTGAAAGTAGATTTCCGAAGAATTCTCCACGAGAAGGGAAACATTGGGGTTTCTTAGCTGGCAACATGAGACTTACAAGACCATGCTATGAATCACTCAAGATGACGAAATAATTCTAAGATACACTTTAGATAACGTAGTAATTCTAAGAAACACTCAAGGTAACGTAACAATTATAAGAAAAAATGCACGAAACGTTTCAATTATAAGAAACAATTTCTAGATAACGTAACCATTATAAGGAACACTCTAGGTAACGTATCAATTCTAAGAAACACCCTAGGTAACGTACAAAATGTAAGAAACACTCTAGGTAACGTAACATTTATAAGAAACACTCTAATTAACGTAACAATTATAAGAAAAAATCAATGTAACGTTACAATTATAAGATATACTCTAGTAAACGTAACAATAATAAAAAAATCCAGGTAACGTAACAATTATAAGATACACTCTAGAAAACTTAACAATTATAAAAAATTCCAGGTAATGTAACAATTATAAGAAAAAATCAAGGTAACGTAAACATTCTAAGAAACGATCTGGATACGAAGAATTTCTAAGAAACACTCTAAGTAACGTAAAAAGAATATGAAACACTCTAGATAACGTAACAATTATAAGGAAAAAAACAGGCAACGTTACAATTATAAGAAACACTCAGGGCTGTGAAAGTAGATTTCCGAAGAATTCTCCACGAGAAGGGAAACATTGGGGTTTCTTAGCTGGCAACATGAGACTTACAAGACCATGCTATGAATCACTCAAGATGACGAAATACTTCTAAGATACACTTTAGATACCGTAGTAATTCTAAGAAGAAAAAACCCAGGTAACGAACAATTCTAAAACACGCTCTAGGTAACATAACAATACTAAGAAACGATCTAGGTAACGTAACAATACTAAGAAACACTCTAGATAACGTAACATTTATAAGAAAAAATCCAGGTAATGTTACAATTCTTAGAAACACTCTAGGTAACGTAACAAGTTTAAGAAACACTCTATGTAACGAATGAAACATAATCTACAATCCTAGAAATTAAAAAAGCGCAAGGTAAATGCTAGGAAATACAAACTTAGTGTCGCCACTGGACAAATCACATTGTAAACTCTTGAAAACTGTTCTAGAACTCACAAGAAGACATTCTTAATGCTCGCAAGGAAACCACACTTTACTACTCACTAGAAACGTCACGTCGCTAAGGAAATGAGGGATTTAGAGTCCCTAGCAAGGAGAAGTAACTCGGTTCTCGTTGTACGTCTCATATTCAATGCCGCATCTAGGTTCATCATGCGCCCCCCTCTTTTTCATGTTTCCATCACGATTCCCATAGGTGTTTGATTGAGACGCTTGGGACTTTAAGAATGTGTAAATCATGTGCAAATACATTTTATCACAAAGAAGAATATTTAAACTAGTTGTTACATGGGCCTAAATCTACAATCGTCAATACATGCACATCACCATTTTGACAATTTCAACACAGCCAGGCATGGCACAACGTAACCATTATTAGCATATAGCTGAAGAAATATTGAAAAAAATATTTGATATATTCTTTAGATATTGGAGATTTTGTTATAATACGGAATTAGCTATCTAAGTCCATGCTATTATTCAACAGGTAACTGTATTAAATATAATGCTTTTAAATCTTGCTCAGCAAGTATACTGATGTACCATAATGTGGCCTTTCAACACACTATGCTTACAAGAGATCGCATTGCTGCTTTATATGATATAACCAAGTAACGTGTCCTTCTGATTAATTGTGATGACACGTTATAGTCATCCACCCATGGTACCTACTGGCTACGCTTATACCAGCCATTCACTGAATATGAAGTACATATGGCATTCGAAAACTGAAAGGAGATAACAGTTGCAGTCAAGATTGCAATTTTTAAACTACGAAGAAATTTTACTTTTTGTATCACAAGATTATTTGATTCTGGTTGTTTAATTGAAATGGGGTCTGGTTACGAGGTTGTATAGTACCAATTCATAAGAAAGGGTGATGTTAAAAATACCGATAAGTATAGAGGTATGCAACTTGTTAGTTGTATGTGAAACTGTATATTTACATCTGTCCTCTACAAAAGAGTTTTAAATTTGATAAATATAACTCCATTATTACTGATGCCCAGTTTGGTTCATGGGAGAGTTATTCAGCTGTTGATGCACTTTTGTGCTTTATTTTTGATAATTGTTGATAAAATCTTTGTACCATAATGTAAAATTTAAGAATGAGACTTACCTGTAAGTTGAAATTTGATGATAATTCTGTCCTTACTTCAGATGGTACGAAGGGATCACATGGGATGCGTGCGCCTATCACCAGTCATTCTTTAAAGCATTTGAGTGAACACTTAACCCCAGCAACACCAATATACATAGAACATGTATATATACATGGCTATGACACACAGAATGAAGTAATCCCGACATAAATAATAAAAGAAAAGGGTGGGTACTTCCAAAGGGTGGGCATGTGATCCCTTCGTACCATCTGAAGTGAAGACAGAATTATCATCACATTTCAACTTACAGCTAAGTCTCATTTCATTCTTTAATTCTGTCTTCACTTCAGATTGGTACTCCGGGATCCCACGAGAGGTTAAACGACAGTGTTCACGAAAACAAAAAACCATAACCACTCAGTCATAATGATATGAAAGTGTATTAATAAACTTGTCAACAAACTACAGCATTACACATTACATAGTAATAATATAATACTTAAGGCGTATAACCATGTCCTATCCTACATAAGAAACTAAGTCAATGCATCCAGTTCAATAAACATATCAATAAGTGTTATCAAGACATTAAGTCATGTCCATTGATGTAAGCCCAGCTCACCACACACAAATCAAGAAATAAAAGTTCAAATATATTGTGTAACGTATATATACATATGTATCCAAACTCTAGACATCAGTTTAGCTGATATTGAGGCTTATTATAAAATTTTGCAAATGTTGAGTCACTACACCAGCCTGCAGTATTGAGAACTGTTTGAATAGGGGCACGTGCTGTAAGGGCTGCTGATGTTGATACCTTGTCATATCAATCCCTGTCTTGAGCATAATATCCTTTATCCCTTTATCCATCTGGAAATGGTTGATTTTGACACTGGCAAATGCAGCTTGTGAAAACTTATAAAAAGCTTGCCCGCCGTTTTCTCAGAATTATCCCTCAACAACTCTGTTCTGTTTATGTATTCTCTTAATGTTTGTATAAGACACAGGTTCGTTTCATTGAACCTTTCCAGGGATATTTCACTTTGGTGAAATCCAGGTCATGTTGATTTAAGAATGTCACCAAATC